ATCGTCAAAGTTGCGTCTGACGAAACCATTGACGAAACCATTGCGTCATGCCAAAATCGTTGCGTCACCCATCATTACTCTCTTTGTCATATTTATACATGACAAACAGCCATGGCCTCGAACCAAGATCTGTGGCCTCGAACCAATAACACCAAGATCTATGGTTCTAAACCCAGATTTATGGTCTTGAACCAATATCTGTGGTTCTAAACCATGCATAGTCATTCCATAGTGTTAACAAATATAGTAAGAAAAAAAATATATTACAAAGAAAATTCGAACACAATTTTCGCAGCATCTTCCCCTGCTCAAAGGGTGAGCTCCTGCGAACCAAACGACAAAACTGTAACCTAAAATTACAATGCAAAGAAACCTCATTTACTGTAAAATAAAACCTCATTTAAAATTTTAATACAAACCAAATTCTGGACGTAGTATCCTTCGCTGCAATCGCTGCCTCTCTCGGCACATCCATGCATTGCCAACTTTAGACCACAATGCCGACATGCTATTTCATCTACAGCACATTTTTTCGATTAGACATATAATATATTGACATTACATATATTTTCTCAGACAAGTCATTTCCCCGACAATCATTTCTTCGACATGATTTTGGTTAGAATTATATGATTGTCAGGAAATGTCTTGTCTAAGAAAAGTATTGTAAAAAAAATGTAATATCAAACATAAAAAAATGTGTTTTTGATAGAATAACATGTCGGCATTATCTAGTTGGAATCGTGCCGTAAACGCTATGTCTAATTCTAAATTAAGGCAGAGTCACATGCTGCCACATAATCATGTCATACACAAATTTATAATATCAAATGTTTTTGATTCTGACATTCGCTTAGATCTTCCGTTCCTGGTTTTGCGCGATGACGTCGCGCAGCTACCTAGTTTATTATCTATTAAAAGTCCAAGATCCATACACACATTCATATTAATTATCGAATATTTATTTTTATTCACATTTAGTTTTATTCACTTAATTAAGTATTCATATCATCCAAATCAATTTGCGAAGATTCTTAATCTCGTTTTGCTTACATTAATTAAATAGATAAGATTTTTAGATATCAAGATATTTGAATTCATTTTATTTAATTTTATTATATGAGTAGTAAAGTGATATTAACTCATTATTAATTTCGTGTTAATTTAGTGTTTATGTTGTACCTCAGATGCATTCTTGCGTCGGATGAAATCCAACACACCTCAAATGTTGATTTTCAGATGACGCGCGTAACCTGTAGATTGGTCATCATCTGAGGTGCGTAAGACGTAATCAAAGATGCCTCAGTTGTAAATTGACGCAAGTTATGTAATCATGCATTTACGAATATCTTAATAAACAATTTCATTTGCTTTATTACTAACAAACCAAACACGACTTTGCAGACACATACATGAGGATAACACAGAGAAATATTAAATTTTATTGTAATTAGCACATAGCAATTACTCTGTAATCTCCAGGAACAAAACCAATTCAGCGTATTAAAAAAAAAAAAAAAAAGTAATATAGCGATCCCAAATTTAAAAAAAATAAATTGCAACATCAAATATGTACGAAGAAATTAGTAAGCATTAAGAATTAAACCAATATTAAGCGTGATTAGTAGGTACCAAGAACTAAGCCAACGTCGAATATATTAGTGGGCACCAGAACTACGCCAATATCGTATATACTAGTGAGCACCAAGAACCAAGTCACGTAGGTACTGTACCAAGAAATAAGTCAAACGTCGGATGTAATGAGAAAAAATTGTGAGTACTAAAAACTAAGCCAACTTCGGATACAAGAATTCAAGCAACGTTGTGGGCATCAAGAACTAAGCTAACGTCGACTGCATTGTGAGCACCAAGAAGTAAGCCAACGTTAATGTATTAGTGACACCAAAAAGCAAGCCAACGTCAATGTATTATAATATACTAGCCCAGTCAACGTCAAATGTGATTCAAGAGATCAGTAGGCACTAAGAACCAAACCAACATCAAAGCGATTTAAAGCCAACAAGAAACAAAAAAATATATATATGGCTAACGTAAAACACGAATACCAAAGTTCAAGCCAAAAAGCTTTTTTTTTTATGCCCTTATTCGTTATGGCGTTACATATTGGTTTGTTCGTTAAAAATTTTTGATTTTAAAGATGATCCTGCGTCAGATTGTATCTTACGCACCTCAGATGACTGATCGACAATATCTGAGGTGCGTCGGATTGCATCCTACACGAGAATACATCTGAGGCACAACATATATAAGTGAAAAATAAATATTTAATAAACTAAGGTATATATTTGAATATATTATTCAAGTTCGTGAATATTTACTATCAAGTAAAGATTCTCATTTCATTCAAATTAATTAAGAACTATGAAAACCATTAATTTATCAGTAGTATCCAAGTTTGCTTCCGTATACATAATTATTAAAACAGACGGCGAAACCGCTCGCATGATCATGTTTTAGTTTTAAATCATAAAATCCTGAGATGAAAATTAATTTATTATCAGGATCAAATATCGCGTAAATACTTTCTTTCATGTTAACCTTTTCATTTTGAAAAATTTATTTTAAAGTAAACATAAAAATCAAATTATTTTCAAAATAGGTCAATTTTATTTTCGAAAGCAAAAATTTATTTCCAAAATACAGATATAGATACAAAATAAAAATTCTTTTTTAAATTCTTATCAATTTTTCAAATATACAAAGATGATAATATGAATGAAGATCATAAAACTATACGAACGAAAAAAAATCAATAAATAAATAATAAAAAGACACTAATTTGCATGACACTACCAATAATGATAATTATTCAGCTTGGTATTGCGCAATTAAATCGTAATTCTTTCCATTCTTTGAACATGCTAATTTCCAATCTCCTGTTTGATCGATTTTCGTTGTAAGATCATAGGTAACACTTCCATCCTCATTTTTACATTTTTTATTAAGTTTTTTGAGTTTTTTCTCCGGAGATAATAAAGCGAATTCGGGATGTTCATCCTCTTTCAAATCAAATACCGTGAATTCAAATTTATAATCTTTTTCGCATTGTAATTTTGAATGAGTTGGTTGGTGGATGGTAAATTTGAATGGAATCTTAAAGGTCTTAAAGAATGAACAATGATTTTTGCCATCTCCTTTGTTTATGACCTTGAAACTTGCAGCTAATGGACCCTATAAAAGAAAAATTAATCAAGTTAAGTTAAAAAAGGTAAATTACCTAATTGTACGAATTTAACAAAAGAGAAAATTTAGCTTACCTTGTTACCTTCAAACAATACATATATTTCAAGTTTTCCTTCACCACCACTTGGGCACGTAGTATGCAACTTATAGTTTTTTCCTAAACCTGTAGTTGTACCTGAACCAAATCCAAGCATCTTTTTAATAATATGATAGAAACCTGAACCTGCTTGATATCCAACCATCCTTTGAACCAAGACTTCATGCTCTTGACCTTCCCAGTTAAGCACAGCATATAATGGTTTCCCTTCATCAGGTTGGAATCTTAAAACTTCAAGATTAATCACATCATCGTTAGTAGTAATAACATTTCCAATGCTTTTATCATGGAATTCCAAACCAGCAGCAAAGAATGCTGGTTTAATGTGAGTCAAATTAAGGAATTCTTCTTTAGTAAGTTGAGGTGTTATGTATTGTTCTTTTGATTCATCAGGAAAATGACTATATATGAACTGAATTGGAGGTGTAAGGAAATAAAAAGGTTCAAAATATTTTTCAAATTGTTTGCCATTCATTCGTCCAGCTCCCCAGGCACAGTCGATGAAGAGATATTCTCCTTTATATATAGTAGCATTCCACGTATGATCTGCCTCCTTACAATCAACCGATTCCTTTGAACCAGCACTTTCTTCATCAATGCCTGGTTGGTTGGATTATACGATTAGATTATACGATCAGATGGGAGATAAAAGAAGATTACAAAAGTAATATTTTTAAAACAAACCTCTAGTCTTGCCCTTAATTTTCCAAGTCTTCAATTCAGCATGAGTAGCTAATTCATTGAATAATTCAGAAAATCCACCTTTACGCTTTTTCAAGGTCTCATCGGCACTATGATTTTTGACGTCTCCTACATATTATACATATTAGAGTAAAAATAATTATTTTTTAAAAAATAAATATATACATTTAGTATATTACATATTATCATGAAATTTATTTACCTGAATCTTCACAATCAAATTCGATGTGTTCCGTGACCCAGACATAAATTGAACGTAATTTATCTAAATGATCTTCCCAACATGAAGTAAGATGCTTGGACAACTGTTCTACGGAACAAGCTTCGGAGTCAGGAGTACCACGTGCGTGAGCGTCTACCTTTGTAAAGTCATGTTCTATATGAAGATACGGGTATCAGCCAAATGATGCAGGGGGAATTAATTTAGTTTCATAGAATTATAATCATTTAATTGGCAGATTATCAACATCAATAATTACCGGAAAGGTCAAGATGTCCTTTGAACTCGGCTTCTACTACAACGGGTTTGCATTTGCTAAATTGTAAAGAATTGTTAACAAAGGCACTCTAAAATAATGAAAAATTCAAGATCATTATAAACCTTTTTGGATCCATTTTTTTAATTTTATTTTATTATTTTTTCTTTGACTTTGAGATGATTTTTTATGAGATAGTATGTCAAATTTTTGATTCTTAAAGTCTTGTCATTTAAGCTCGCTTTTATAGCTTTTTAATCAGCGATTTAGAAACTAGAAGAAACATTAGAAACTAGAAGATACATACCAAAAAAATGTTATTTGGCGTTAATATTTTGTAAAGGGCAAGACCCTGTTGGTACATAATTATTAAATTAGCCAAGTTCAAAAAATTTTGATTATTATCTAATGAATAGATTATCAAGGCATTAACAATATTTAGTTAGTAAGTGCCCGGTCTCAACGTTTTTTTTTTTTTCCGATTTTGACAAATTCGTCGATGTAGGGCTTAAGCAATTTCCTAAATTAGATAAATGCAATTGATTTCTTTGTTGTTTTTTTATTACTTGAAGGGTCCTACACGATGGATTTCCTGTTCCTAAATTCCCACCTATTCTATGCATTAAAATGTAAACGTTTATTAAAATAAGATTTCCTTTTTTTTCCAGTGCATGGGAATTATATGTAACCCGTAAATTTTTAGGTTGCACATCACTTAATGCATATACTGTACATAGAAAATTTGACGACGAAATAGGAGTTTTTTTTTACCAAATAACGCCCAGGGGCATTATTTTGAACAATGCTGCAATGGCCCGAATTAAGCTTAATTTAGGCCAAAATTCGAGATTACACCCTGGGCGTTATCAGTTATTTTGGGACGCCGTAAGGCGTTTTATTAATTTATATAACTATGGCAACGTGAGAAACATATCAATATTTCATAAAGATAACTAACACAGCTTCTGTGAAACATTCACCATCTGTTTACCTTATTATTTTAATATTCGCTAGTATGCATTAAATCATTTTTAACTTAATTAATTTTCCTGACTTTATTAATTTGTAATTTTAACCTACGAACGTACGTATACAGGGTTCTAATTTGATAAAATTGTTATATATTCAAATAAAATTATAACTTTTAAGTAGATATTCTGAAATTTTTTCAGATTAAATTAGCAAGGATAAAGTTCATCGTCAAAATGCGATAAACATGAGAAATTTTCGATGTCTTTAAAAGTAAATTTGTGGCAAAAATATTACAATTTTTGCTTTATCAGAACGCCTCTCAACGACAAATAAATTTTTATGTTCTTGCAACGTTGATTATATAGATGCAAACATTTGGATACCTCTTCACATCACATTCACGTCATATAAAATTTGGTAGTGACATTAATAGTTGTTAGGCAAAACCTAAAAAGGAATTTATAAATAAACTTGATTATTAACTATCGTTATAATTTCCTTTTTCGGTTTCGCCAACAACTATTGTGACGTCTATACGTCACCACTGCGTCACTGACATATGTTGTTGATAATCTAATTTTTGCAGCCTAAAATTTTATGCTACGTACATGAAGTACATGCATCAGGATTACTATCTTGAGAAAGGCTAGAATGCATATACGTAGAACTTTAACAAGCGATATTCTACTCAGTTAGTTGAAAAGAGGTCCCATGCAGGAATAAGTATTCGAATGCGTGCTTTCTATAGCGTAATGATCAAAAATTTATCAATGGAACTAAGACGATAGTATAAGCATTCTTATCCGAATATTGAATGAGAAACCATTTGAATCGATTTTAAATTTGTTTCCTGCCAACTAGTACTCGACTTGAGCCGGGCCAAGCCTGCTGCAAATTTACAGGTCGGGACGGGCTCGGGCCTAATTCGGGCCTAGATTTCGTAATTTTGGCCAGGCTTCGTGTGATGCTGAGAGGCGAGAAATTGTGTGGCTCCTCTCTTTTTGATCACTTGATCTTTAATCACTTTGCAAGATAATAATTTTTAGAGGTCTGATCAAAAATTAATCAATCGGGTATTCACTGAATGTTCAAGTATCGGTCAAAAATTGAATGAAATCTGTAAATATTCATTGATTAATCTATGAATTGGTGCATGTTCAGATTATTGAGTATTTAATAATTCAATACGTAATACGCATTAAAATAAAGTAATAGATTTGTATATTTAAAATATGGTTAACAACGTAGTATCTATCAGTAAAAATATCGTATCAAAATAAAAAAATTCTAATTGCATTTATATTTTTGTGTTAATAATTTTGATAGTGTACATATAATCAGGATGATTTTGAGGAATTATTGGTAATGTTTCAAGAATTTTATCGTTATTCATTTAAAAAAACTGGGTTTTTATTTCATTTTCATCATCTGAATCTAACTTTTAAGCAATAATCAATTTCATCATAAATATCAGACGTTCCTGTGGAACTGAATCCATGCATTTATTTGTCAATTTAACATAGCAATCAGGATTTCCTGAAGCAAAGCCTGGACAAAATCTTTTCCAAATTTCCACTCCAAGTTTAGTAGCAAATTTGCGTTCATCAAAAGACCTTTGCCCACTTGACATTTTCTGCCATAATAATACCAAACCCATAAATATCTACCGTTTTGTGTAAACTTTGTTTGTCTAACAAAACTTTGGGAACAATATAACGCATGACCCCAAAAATATCACCTTTTGAAACACACTCGTCACTCTTTCTAGACAACCCTAGATCTCGATATAAGATTTTGCATTTTAATTATGAAAATCGGTAAAAATTTATCCTGTACGGATGTGAATATTATGCAACTCAGATAACTCAGATGAAATATATCTAAGTATATATTTGTAATTTAGTCACAATGTACGTTGATTAAAATTTTCCCTTAATTATTTATAAGACATCCATTGTTAGCATATTGGAATACCATCAAGAATCATTTGTTTCTGTATTTCGTGTTACAGTAAAACTTCTATAAAGTGCGCACCTTCTCTAAATGCATATTCAAACTCTGGCCCAAATATACTTGTAACCTCTATAAATGCACTTTCTCTTATTGTTCCCAAAGTTCTCGTTTTTAAAGTTTGGTCTCAAGAGCGTGCACTTATAGAGGTTTTTCTGTGGTCCCGTCGTATTGCATTTAGAGTGTGTATAATAATATAAAGTAATAAATAACTTACTTTCTTTAAATATAAACACTGTTGTAATCTTCGCAATCAACTTTTCATACACCATCCAGCCAGGTTGCTGAACATAAAGCGAACCTTCGCCAATTTCTTTAACATCAGATAATCTAACATTCTCATATTTAAATGACCTAAATCGATATCTTCTTCTCTATTTATCCATCCTGGTAGCGTTATTTATAAGTTGATTGTTAAAACATTGGAGTTTAGGATCGATTGATATTAAATTTAGCATTATTTTTTTTTTTTTTTTTTACCTTTGAATTTTTTCTATCTGAATTTTCTCTTTTTATTATTAACTTAAATCTTCGTTCTTAGTAGAATTCTAACTTCATTGCAGCTTAGCCCCGATAACAATTTGATTTTGATGTACAAGAATGAACGGAAAGAGTAGTGTAATGCTGTAGTAATATTCGAAATTGGCACGAGGCCCCCCCGTATGTGTAATTTCTATTTAATTACTAGCGAACCGTGCCTAATTTTAAAATAAATCCGGCCCGTCCCGACCCATTATTATAACTTTTTTTTTTATCGGACCGAGCTTGAGCTAAAAAATTTTTCGAGTTTGGTTTCGGGCCCCGTCAACCCAGCCCATTTCAAACTTTCTTGCTAACCACAAAACCATAAATTTATTTCGAAATTTTTGACATAAAAAACTTTATTTACTGGATACAGTACCTTGGACTTATTCAAGAATTCATTTTTTAAACTGAATAGTGAAGAGTCGGGTACTATGTTCTGGCATAAATTCTTTGTTTTTAGTATTAATTAAACTATTTAAACTAGACCAGCATGGATGAATAATAACGGGATCTATGATATTGTTTCTGGGAAATACTGTACACTTTATCTACTTTGATATATCCCCGATCCTCTCTAAAACTTATTCTGATTAGCTATATACTGAGAATGGGCTTTTGCATGTAAAAAAATAGCATTTGTATAAAAGCAGATGGCCTGATTTAATCACAAAGTCATTTTCTAATAGCCTTACTTTTTCATCTAGTGTTTCAGAGGTGCATCACAGTTGCGTTTATTTATGTTGTAAGTGTGAACAGAATTTGGTGGATTGGAATTTTGGGGTAGAATTTTTATTATAGTAAAAAACCTAACTATTTTAGCTAAGAAATTCCGAATCCAACTTAATATTAAATCCTGTTTTCATTTATAAACCGGTTTGACCTAATTTTAATAACGAAGTGAGATGATGTCATAAATCTGCGTCTATAATTTAATGAGTTTTTATTATTTACAAAAAAATAAGGTTTATTTAATTAAAATGGCAAAAAAATCAATTAGCTAAAATTGTTATTAGAGTTTAAGATTTTCATTATGGCGTAATTATGTTGTAAATCAATTGCCCGGGTAACTTATTTATGCACTTTAAAGTACTTTTTTAAGAGCGTAAAATTAACAAGTAAAATTATCTAGAAAGTTAACTTTTAAATTAATCTCTTATAATTTATTATTTGAGGAAGTTAGCTTAGACATGACTTTTGAAATACAGTATTGTAAATAATCTAATTCTGGTCAAATTCGCAGATCATTTGGCCCTGGTAAATCATTTTAAAAATGATCTACCAGGGCCAAATGATCTGCAAATCTGACCAGAATTAAATTGCTTTTAAAAAAGTAGCTCATTTGATGAGCGCGTGACTTGATTGGTTCTGGATAAATTATTTCATGAGATCCGTAGGATCGCATAATAATCATTTCCCGGAAAAATAATTAAATAATTCAAGTACGTACGTACGTACATACGTATCCAGCTGTATTTTTAATACACAGTCAGACCCCTATCTAAATGCAGCACCTCCCTAAATGCATGATATAAGTCTGGGCCCATTGTGGGACTTAAAGATAAATGCACGTTCTTTATTCTGTAAGTGCATGCTAATTGCCTGGCCCACTTATAAAAACTCCCTCCATAAATGCATCCACGTGATTACTGACCAATCAAATTCATCATTTATAGGTCACTAAAGCCGCATTTATTACATGACAATGGTCACATTGTGATTTTATCAGTGTACTCTAATTGCAGCCCTCCCTAAATGCACGCTCTAGAGCTGGTACATTTAGGGAGGCCTGACTGTACCAGCTCTAGGTCCCGAAGGGACCCAGAAGCTGGAATATTAAATTTTACTGCCAGATACGAA